AACTTATTTTTAACCCTCCTCTAAAGCATAGACGTGATTACAATTAATAATACTGATCAATCTAGCCTAATAAAAAAATTACTATAGCTCAAATTTCAGCGTTGATCATTGCCTGATGAAACATAACTTGTTAATATAATTTTAATATTATGTATTCACTTTTAAACTGTGGTTGTCGGAAAGTCATATTTACAGTTTCAATAGAAATATACTATGGAAAAAAGAGGATACTTTGCATAAAATTGTTTGCAAAGTAAACTAATCTCATAAAATTTTGCATGATAAGTCTTTGGAGGTCAAATAATGTCATTTATCTCCTTTGCACTGCTTTTCAAGCATAAGAATGAAATGAATAAAGAGAAAAACATGAGAAAAGAAAGCCGGAGAGGGACACTTAAGAATAGGTTGCCTTTCCGAATGTTTTCCTTCATAAAGAAGAGGAATGGTAGGTTCTGTCGCAACATATATGAATGAAAGCAAGCATGTTTCTTCTAGTCATTAATGCTCTTTGGACTTTGGTTGCCGCTGTCCTTTAACACATGACATCATTTATGACATCATTTATGTTTTGAATTAGTTTGGCACCACCGTTCGGACACTAAGATTCAAATCTATTTAATAATAAATTTATAACTATTTGAGATTTATTTTTATAAGATATTAGATGGTGAAGGGATGAAAGTCTTAACAAAGAATAAAATAAAATTTTGTTAGAAACATTAATGTGCATAAAAGACAAGGAATAATGAATATCTTACAAAAAGTTTTTTTAATCTAATTTTGTAAGTCATCAATTAAAAAAGTATATATCTATTGACATTGGATTTATTAGAATTATTGCATTTAAATATTTAATTTTATTATTATTATTATTATGTATATGTATGCATTTATGTTGTAGTATATTCTCATTAGTGATAATGTTGCTTTTATATAGCTTGTTTATTGTTTAACTATGATAAATTAAACAAATAAATAGACTTTTTATATTTTCAATATGTTAGGAGTACTTTGGTCCAAGGAGTTATCTCCATCTTTTTGATTCCATATCATATTTCTATTTCTCTCACCCATCATCTCATAGTTGGTCAACCTTCCTTCCACCTCAATAACAACTACCCCCCTTGTCCTAATTGAATGCAACTGACTATAAACTACTCATGTATTATTTTTCTCAAGTTGTAATAGATATCCGACTTCACATGATGTTTATCGCTTATATTTGGGTATTGTTCTTGTAGTGGTTTCTCCTTTGGGTTTGTTTTTTTATTAATGATATCCTTTAATGCAAGAGGTAAATATGGTGAAAGAAAAAGAAATTATGGATTAAAAAAATAGATTTGAAGGATGAAGATGTAGAGAGAGTAGAACGTAATGTAGGTATTAAATGGAAATAATAATTTGGAGGGAAAAAAAGAGGTAGAGGGAAAGGATGGTAATGTGAGCATTGAATGACAGATATGATGTGAATTAAGAGGCTGAGAAGGTAGATATCCAGAAGGCTGGAATAATATCAATGTAAATGAGATGGCAGTGTTGAGGTTTTTTGAGGTGGGGGGAGGGGGGTACACTTAATTGGAAAATATTGATAATGAGTTGAAGTAAATAATGATTTGGTGATGGTCATGCAGCCTGGTTGAAACAACAATAATTATTGTCGGTGGTCATCATTGATGCATATAAGAAGGTCTGCGATAGCAGAGTAATGAATTATCATTTTAGCATTACACGTAAACTAATCACACACTCAAACAATTAAAGAGAAGTAAGTAGGAGAACACCTTGAATTTTTATGTGGGAAACCTTATAAAAAGAAGGAAACCATGGGTCTAGCCCTATTAAAGAAATCCACTATGAATGATTTGTACACATGTCTACTTTTCTTCTAAATTAAGGAAAATGGAGTTACAAAGTTAATCATTATAAATGTATAACTGTAATTCATTGATAATATGCATAGTTTGGCTGTAATGAATGTAGTTATTGGTGATAGTAAACTGCAAGGGTCATAGTTGATTATTATATAGATAATATTTTATTGTGAATTTTGTCAATGGTGGCTATAGTGCTAGCTTGTCACGTAGGTCGCAGTTAAAAGTACTGATAGTAGTTGACCGTGTGGGTCATAGATCATTACTTCAGGAGCCTCAATTGGCCACAAAAGTATTAGTAGAAAGTTGTAAAGTTATGAGCCATGTATGTCATAGTTGATCATGTAGACCATAGTGGTGTATTGCGATAACATTAGTATGCTACAACGACAGGATTGAGAAATTGCATGAGTTGTAAGCCAAGTAAAATGTAGTTTGTTACGCAGGTCGCAGTTGTGACTTGTGATGATGACTATAGGACACAAAGACTGAAGTTGAGAGCTACATGAGCTGTCACATAAATGTCATAGTTGATTATGTAGACTGTGCTGGTGATCTGCAATGATGTCCATAAGTCACAGAGGTCGGACTCGAGAGCTACACATGTTGTAACCCACATAAGCTATATTTTGTTACATAGGCTGTAGTGGTGAGCTGTGATGAAATTCGTAGGTTACAAAGCCTAGAGTTTGTAGGTCGTAGTTGGTTACATAAGTCATAATGGTGAGATGCAATGACATTCAAAGGCCGTGAAAGTTGAAGTCAGGAGCTACATGAGCATGTGGTAATGTCCATAGAATGTTGAGGTTCGAGTTGTGAGCTATATGATCTATTATATCATTTGTAGGCCACAAAAGCTAAATTTGGGAGATGCACGAGCTGTGAACCACATATATTGTAGTAGGACACATATACCATATCGGTGAGTGGGGCACATATGACATGGCTGTTAGCTGTGATGATGTTCATATGTCATAAATGTTATGAGTTATGTAGAACATAGTTGCTCACATAAGTTATAATGTGGAGCTGTAATGACTTTTATAAGTAGTAGTTGGTCACAAGCTGCGAGACTCGTAGGACATAGTTGGTCACATACAAAGAGGTCAGGGTCGGAAGATGCACAAGTTATGGACCAAGTAGGTTGTAGTTGGTCATGTAGGCTATAGTTGTTAGCTTTGATGACGCCCATATGCTGTAGAGGCCAGAGTCAAGAGCTGTACGAGTTGTATACCACATAGGTTGTATTTGTTTGCCTAGGCCATGTTTGGTCGTGTGGGGCGTAGTTAGCCGTGTAGGCCATAATGGTTAGTTATGATGACATATTAGCCGCAGAGGCTATAATCGAGAGTTACATGAGTTGTGGACCATGTAAGTCATAGTTTGTCATGTAGGACATATTGACAAATTATTATTAGTTATTATAGGGAAGTATTGATGGTTCCTTGATTAAATGTTATTCATGATCTTGTATTTAGAGCATGTCATTACACCGCTTTCGAATTTCATTAAACTGTAGTCGTGATGCAATGTTACACCGTGCATCAATACACTATAGGTGAGGTGTGTTATTATATCGTCTTTGAGTTGCATTGTTGCATCATCTTAGGGTCACATCATTGCACAATCTTAGGATCATAACATTGCTTCGTATTTGAGGCGTGTTGTTACATCATGTGCGGAGCGTGTCGTTTCATCTTATTTAGGGTGCGTTATTACAACATCTTCAAGGAGCATTGTTGTATAGTATTTTAGGTGTGTCATTACATTGTCTTCAGAGAATGTTGCTGTAGATTGGTCAGGATGATGCGTCGCTACGTCTAATGCTTAGTTGCTCTATAACATACACTGGATTTCACTTCATAAATTGTGATTTCACTAGGGGTTTTGTTACAACGAGCGGCGAGCGGTTGACGGTAGTTGATGACAGTTAGTGGTTGACGACTGCAGAAGCGGGTGACGTTCGTTGGACTTTCGATGTAGAACACTGGACCCCGACTCCTTCTCCTCCAAGCTTCATGCATCCTCAAGTTCAAGGTTTAGGTCCCTCTTCATGAAGGGGGTATAACTCCATTTATAGAGTCAGTGAGAGGTCTCCCTGCAAATAAGAAAGAAATACAGATCACACCTCCAGAAAACTAAAAAAAATTCCTTCGATCGAACAATGTTTTTGTGGGCATTTGAGTGTTTTAGCGAATAACAATGTCAAAATTGAGTGACCATTGGATTTGTTTTGTCAATATACAAGATGTGACGATAAACATGTTTGTTTGGGAATACGTTCGATCTTCAAATAATGAAAAAAACTTCTAAAAGTGATTTGAAGACTTTATCTGGGCCTGATTTGAATTAGATTGGACAGATTTTGATGTAATTGTGTTTATCTCGGTGAGCTTTTAATGAAATGTGAACATTCCTTGCTCAAAATATTGTTTGAGATCCGTGTCTGATGACGAAAATTTATTGACGGCGTATCAATGTAGTTCAATATAAGCATAACCTTAGAGAGAAATCATATCTAAGTTACTTTATAAGACTAAGTGATCCTATTTTAACAGTTTATTTTTATACTTGTTTATTATGATGAGAATATTATAATTTCTTATTTGTTATACAACGATGTAATACTTACTATTACTATAAATAATTGTTTATTTATTTTTTGTGCATGCATCATATAATTTTGTGATAGCTCATTAGCGCATTATAATTGTTCTATTCTAATATACTATATGTTTCTTACAGCATATTTTAATATAGTATTTATGATTGCATGTTGCTATTGCAACTTTAATCCTTTATGATTCAAAGTAAAATAAAAGAACTTTAATATGAAATTTACTCTCTCATATCTACTAAAAATAAATATTGTTTTAACAATTTGAATTATTTTTTAATATCGTTTGAAATCTATTCAAGCAAGGTGAGAATATAGTTTGAATAATGTTTTCAATCTGATATATTTTTATAAGAAAATAAATAATCACCATTAATCCTATCATGACACTTATGAAGACAAACATTTTAATATAAATTTAAAAATAAATAAATGGAAAATGCTTCGGAAGGGCCTTTGTAGCCCGAAAGGCCCTGGCCCATATACATTCACCCTGTGCCTCGCAAACTAAAGATCCTCCCGGCTAGCTGAAATACCGAGGCAGCGTATCCATAGCTACGCATACTGTATTCGAGGGTAGAATTTGTTTCCTGCCGACTACCTTCCTGTAGCCTAGCTCCGCTCGCGGGAGAAAACCGATTGTAGCTCAGCCATGGCCAGAGAGCGACTCAGATCAATTTACTCCTTCAAGAGCAGGACACTTATCTTTTTATCCCTTCTCCTGCTCAACCCTGCATTTTCCCAGAAGGCCACTGGATTTGGTGACTCCAGGCGGAGAAACATGAAGGCGAAAGTCCGGCAGATGTAAGTTGCTTGTTCTAGAATGTCTTTTTTCCTCAATTTTCTTGGAATTAGGGCATTTGCTGTTCTTATTCTATTGAATTTATTGTCGTTGTAAGTTGGAACATGTTTTGTAATTTTGATATCTGGAATTGGTTAAGTTTCTGGATTGTCGCAATTCGATTTTGTGAACTCCATCGAAGATTAAAAATCTGCTAATCATTAATTGGAGACCTATCGAGATTGAAAAAAAAAATGATCAAAGGGCAGAAGTTTGACTATGCTATAGAGGGATCCTTCTTTACGTTTGTGCTAAAATGTAAACGATAGAATGTACCAATTCTTGCCTGTTATATTGCAGAGGTTTAGTTGATGGCAGCTTGACCTCACTGGTGATTTGTTCAGGACGCTGATGGTGCTAGCATGAAATTCACTAGATATGCCGTTGTTGAATGCCAATGTCGCATTGAAATTATCAGATGAAACCATGATTAAGACTGGCTCTATCTACTATCTAGTAGTCATACTAATACCTGATTGGTCTACATTGCAATAACAATCTTGAAATTTATGCTTGCTTTTTTATGATCAATGTTAGTCCTGGTTTATTAATTATTAGTGGAATTTACGTACACACCACACAATTCTTATGTATTTAAATATCTAACGCCTAAGCTTTCATATTTACATTTATGTCACTTCGGTTTCATAAAATTATTCATCTAAGGGTGTATCTCACCTTTAGGAAGTAGGTGAAAGTGGTATTTTTTATGTCATATTAAACTTTTGAGTGTTGTGCATGCAAATATTAAAATTTGGATGTTGGACTTAAATATGTAAGAATTGTGTGATATTTATGTAAATGACTGCTATTATCAATGTTTATAGTTTTTTGCTTAAAATAATGATATGCAGGACGTATCATATGTTGGAATTACAGATCTAACTGTAGCAAGATACTACTCAAGAAAGAAATATGAAAGATTGTAAAGTTTGTGGTTAGGTAGGGATGGATATATCTTATGAAAATCCCACCATAATGCTTGAACTTTATCATTTTTTGGTAGAATATATATAGATTAAACTTATGAAAATCCTACCATATTACTGAAGAACTACATTTTATATATGACTTCCGGCATGACCCGAAACTAACATACTTTTCCCTTATCATTAAAAGGAGCATGATGGTCTATTAAAAACCATTGATTTGTATGCCATGGGTTGGGGTGCATGAGAGCATAGTAACTGGCCTGGGAACCATGAATAGGGGAAGTTTTCACCTTCTTTTATTGCTTATACTAACGCGTGGGCTTCTTCGAGTTGCAATTGCGAATACTGTAACTGCTGTAGTGCCGCGGCCCAACACTTCTCCCATTTTTATTTTTTGTTTCCCTCCCTCTTCCTTTCCTTTTCTATGATTCTCCTATTGTATTTCCTACTTATTCCATGCTTGCCTATTCTATTTCTTTCTTTTCCTAAGCATTACCTAGTCTATCTACAAATTCTTATTATAAATGTGTGTTGTTGAGTGTTTAGGAGGCAGTTTTGATGAGTGTAGATTTATGAGTGTTGCCTTTGAGAGTTTATTCCCCTTCTAGGGCTGTATTCGATGACGAGATTGTGCTCTGGCTGTAACTCGTCCGGGGTGGTGGCCGTCTTCAAGGGCTTGGGCGGTGCTTTGACTGTAGCTCAACCTCGACGAGACATTTATCCTTGAAGCCCCCCTTTAGCACCACTTCCAACAACCGTAAATCATACTCTCTGCTGCTATCCAGACCCCGCCATCCCTCTTTTGGTTGCTACCTAGCATTCCAACTGTTGTTCAGATCATGCCATCCCTGTTCAAGTTGCTGCCCAACATTTCGACTGCTGTTCAAATCACCCATTCTCTTCTGACTATCGTTCAGACTATCGGCGACCCCTCCTACTTGCTGCCCCAAATTCCGGCCGCCAGATTTCCACCTCCAGAGCCATAGCCACGCCGCTGCCAGCATGGCCGATGCTCACCTCTTGTCCTCCGGACTGCTTGCCATCAAGAGTGTTGTTTCTGTCCTGTGTTTTTTCCTTTGTCTTATATCTGACTTCATCATTGTTGTTTACTGTTTACATGTGTTGTCGTTTATTTCATGTTCGCAAGAGTCTCGTTTGTACCCTTTTTGAATTAAATAATAATAATTGTGCTCTTCATGGTGATTTGGGCTTCCTCCAGTATCATATATTGAATTAATTTTGTATGGAAGTTTGTATACAACAAACTCAACATTATGTTTTATATTATGGTTTAGACTGCATAGGTTTTGTCATAATAGATGATGGAAAAAATGTGTCTAATAATGCTTTATGTTTTGTAGTTTTTTTGAATTAAAAATGCTTAATCTCAGCAATTCTCAATTCAAAGTGGCATAAAACCTTTAAAAATGATCTTTCAATTCATTGGCTCATTTGCTCATAGCTTATGGCTTCCCTGATACACAACTCAGAAGAAGGAGAGATTTGGCAAATTAGCAAGAAACTTTTATTGAATTATCTTGCACCTAAATTACAGGATCCTAGGCACTATTTATAACATTTTTTTTCTTATTTGAAATGATAAAACTGCTCGAACTAATATTGCATGATAAATAACATTGTCCCCAACTATTTAGCATATAGAAAACTAAGCACAAAGTACCATATGCTATAAAAAATTTATCATGACATCAAATTGACACCACAATCATGACATGCATGCAACTCATGTTAGCTTATATAAAATCTTGTTGTTTATCCTAGGGTGCAAAAGGTTTCACACAATTTAAATGCTATGGAGGAGGAATTAGCATTGTGACCAATCACGTGGAAGTATTTATGGTATTTTTCTAGCGAATAAGAGGATTGGATAGGTATGAATTCAAAATTAACTAAAGGACACTACTTTTTTTTTCATTCTTAAGAATTTTTTGGTTACATTGGATTGAATTGATAAAGTTAGATAGGTAATCTAATTTCATTGCATTGGATTTATTTTGGTGGGTTATACCCAGCTTAGTTGGATTAGGTGTAGAATTAGATAATTAGTATTTTTGAATGGCAAGTGCATTGATTTTTATTGTTCTTGGGATGAAATCATGTAGATGATCAATCAAATAATTTATGATCATAATTTTGGCATTTGGACCTTCAAAAGATCAAAGAAGTTGTGTTTTGTTGAAGTTTGATGGCCTAATTTCTGCTTAAAATTTCCCTTTAGAATTGATTGTATGATCATGCTATTAAGATCAATATGGATGTCATCAGTAGTCCATAAGCGTGATCAAATTCTCAAGATAACACTGTCAAGTGAGAACAAGGCTCCAAAAGTTGGATTATTTGATCAAAATTCATTTTAGAACATATTCTTAGGCGTTTGAATCTTTAAGCTTCTTTGAATACGCTTTGATTAGGATAATTCCTACTTGATTTAAGTTTGAGCATATCTTGTTTACTATTTTAAGTGGGAGTTTTCTCTTTTTCATGGATTTTTTTTAGTTGGATTAAGATTGATTCCTAGTACAATTGTTGATCTGAAGGCTTTGAATTCGTAGAAAATTAGAAAGAATTCTTCAAATTCCTTTCTTTTCATGTTTTCCCCTCTTTGCTTTGTATTTTTCAGCTTGATTTTAGATTTTACAGCTAGCCAGGTAAGCAGATGCTCTCTAACATTCACCGTTGAAGCCACTGCTTGCTTTTAAAAGTTGATAGTCATTTCTATGACCATTCCTACAATGGTTATTGGTTATCATTACTACAACTACACGGCTGCTATATTGTGGAATACTACCGTCATTGTGAAATTCTTGTGGCTGATTCTAGAATACATACATGGAAGAAATATAGGCAAATTTTCTGTTAACAAAATATTCAGAAGGAAAGAAAGTGAACAAAGTGTTGTCCACAACAAGTTTAGAACCAATACCTAGAAGAGAATTTTAATTTTAGCAAGGAAGTTTCATAAAGATCTGTTATAGATCAAGTTAGCATTCAAGCATTGATCCTTGGGGCACGGTGACACATAGAAGGGCTATAAAGACTATGTAGAGGAGCTTCTTGTCTTGAATGCATTTTTAAAGTAAATGAATAAACAAAAGAAGCTAGAGAAATTCAATTAAGGGCTAATGACGTTTCCACAATTTAACCGTTCAAATGATTAGACTATTGGTGTAATGATCATTATGGTGAAGTTGATGAAGTGCAACAAAACCTCTACTTCAACTAGTGGGCCAAGTATTATTCCATTTTTAATGCCAAATACAAATGTGATTGGATAGATTGAAATGAGGATATGGCTACCATTCATGAAGGATTTGTCTATGCAAATTCAAATCATAGTGAAGATTCCTACTTATGAGAAAATTGATGTGATAAGTTGGATGCATGGATCAACTATTTGGGTTTTACTTCAACTTGTATGGCCATAACATTGATGACAATGTTGCCTTCATTTGGCTGTTAAGTCATTATGCTTTAGTGCGGTGGAATGCTCTCGAAAGATGAATGGGCGCTGACCTAGGAGATGTTCAAGAAGTTGATACATCAAGAGCTCTATGTGATTGGGCCATTTAAAAGATTGGTAAAGGGAGTGTCACAGTTTGAGGCAATCTTAAAGGCAATTAATGTAAGGTACAACATTGAGCTCTCAAGTCATAGGATTACTTTGGGAGTAAATCATGAGGATATGCAAACTATAATGAAGTACACCTTAGATCTCGGTCAATATGATGTTATGGCTATAAGATGTAAGAATTAAGGTATGAAAGAGACGGTAGTAGAATCATTTGGGGAATGACCCAACTTCTTAAAGAATAAGAAGGAAGGCAAAGAAGATGGTATTGCTCTAATGTTAACTTCCACCTCTACTTTGAAGTTTTATGATCATTGCTAAATGTCTAGCTATACTCAAAAAAATGCTAGAAGGTTTACACTGACTTTGTTCCTGAAAAAGAGAATGATTTGAAATGAAAGATGATTACTGCTGCTGTGGATAATACCATGTTTTAATTGGT